CAGAGCCAAAACGTATTTTTAAAAAACCAGGGCAGTGAGGAACCAGTCTCCAGTACTACACCTGTAGGTGAAACCTTTGGTGTCCGAGCCACTCGCTTGGTTTTTGGTAGAGCAGGGACATCAAGCTCTGCAGAAAAGCACGTCGACTCCTGAATTCTCTGGACTTTCTTCTCCTTTAGAGGGGGACGTGGAGACTGATCTACTTGATTAAAAGTAAAAAGAATTAGTAAAGAAAATTTAGGAAGGGGCTCAAAAGCTGTTTTACTAGGAATTGGATGCAAAAGTAATGTTACAATGTCTTAATAATAGAGATGCATATTATGCCTAGAATTACAGTCTGATTACCAGATTTATGTGCACGGGCTGGACTTGCAGGCTGATTAATTGTTGTCATTTTTAGCTGTTCTTGTAAGGACTTCATTTGTTCTTGCAATTTCTTTAATTCATCTAAGAAGAAAAACATATTGCTTTAAGAACCATACCAGAGGAAATATTATACATGATGAAAGTGCTGGAATTATTTTTGGCATCCACCGACTACCCCTCACCCCAAACCTTGAGACCCACAATATAATCATATACTGAGAACTCAGAATTAACTTTTGCACTTCAAAGGGGTCCCCTTAGGAAAATAAACTTTATATTTCCAGTTATCAAGCTTCTAATACCAAAGCTAGTTATGAATTTGTACTACTGACAGATATCACAGACACATATTCATAGGTAAGCTTTGAAGAGTCAAGAAATTATTATACTTATTTCACAAGTGGAATATCAGAATTAATACAACAAATGCCTAATGCCTGCTCCTGTATTAAAAGATACTACCAACTACTGAATTTTATTATAATTTAAAAATACATAAGAGAAGATGCCAGGAAGAAGAAAAAGGCACTCTCCCAACCTTCTGTTCAGGAATGGTCTCCCACTCAAAGAGAATGTGCAGTAAGTAGCTTTATAGTCTTATCTCTGGCTCCATATGCATATAAATCCCAAAGTGATATTTTTCTGTATAAGCATGATATACAGTCATTCTGTGAAGGGTCAGCTGTAGGGGGCTGTCACTGATATAAGGGATCTTTGTAGGCTGGAATGCTTGCCTTAAAGGCATGATCTACTAACTCAGACAATTTGTTTTTGCAAAGTCATTTATCTCCACCCTTGACTCAGCAGCTATCTTGATGAAAACTGTCAGACCGGTGGTCTTCATCTGGT